GCATTTAGTGAGCAGCGAATTCGAGGGCAGACAGCTAGAGGAGGGCAGTATAAGCGTCACAGAGGATGCTTAGCCAAGGTTTCAGTAGCAACATTAGAGATTATTAGTTATCTACATTTATGATTATGAGTATAGACTGGAGATCAGATTGAGATTTTAAAGTTTTAGTTTAATTTATCCACGTGTTAGGGCTTTGCTTTGAATTACAAGTGTGTGTTTTCAGTATTTTATTTATTAAAATTTTTCCCAGTTGCAATTTAAGATTTGAGTATTTTATTTATCAAGGGCATTTAGTAAAAGTAGTACCCGGCCGGGTTAGGGTGTTACACATGGATGGCACGAGAAGAGTTGATCGTATGATGTACCGATATCCAAATAGAGAAAGTGGGTCATTGTGGCATGAGGAATATCTCATAACCACTCAGGATGAAGTAGATTCCATGCTCGAATTCTTGAGGTCCAACAATCTTTCCAAAGCCGAGATGTTCGTTTACACCGAGGCGGCCGTTGGCGTTGGAGGTCATTCTGGACACGGTCAAACATCTGGTATCCATGGTGGTGGTGAATTATATGGCGATCATCCCTACCAAAGTTACCATGATCCTGATTCCTATTTTCAGTACAAGTCGGTTGTATCCAACAGTCCTTGCTCGAGATAATACCGTTGGTTGTATATATCCACGTCGGCCCAACCTACGAGAAAATAACAACGAGGTTAGTACATAGATTAATTAAAAATCTTATAACAACAACAAAAATTAAACCAGAATAGTGAGTATGTACCGCTAGAAATTCATCAACATAAACTCCTCTCCTTGCCACCAATCGCTCATTTTTTCAGGAAATTCGGACAGAGATTCGGCTAGGCTCGGCGGGTTTTGAGAAAAAAACCAAAGAAATGTTTTCTGATGGCAGATCACACTTAGCCGCAACCAACAGACCACTATTTCCTAGGCTTTTGGGAGAGGAGGGGAGGGGTTAGAGAACTAATTCTAGAGAGAGAGAGTGGAGAATGGTTGTGGTGTGAAAAAATGAGAGGGGGGGGGGGGGAGGGGGTATTTATACCCATCAGACCGCACCCTCTAGGGGCGGTCTGGTAATTTTGCCCCAATCAAAACCGCTCCTTGCCGAGGCGGTTTACGCTCCCCGATGCTTGACCGCACCTCGGCGCAGCGGTCTTCGATCCGTGGCAAGGATCGCTGACCTGGCAAGCGGTCCGCCACTGGATCGCTTCTTCATCCTGCGGTCTTGGAGGTGCGGTTCTCAGTCTGAGGTGGACTAAAACGCACCTCCAAGGTGCGGTTTATACATAAAACGCACCTTGGAGGTGCGGTTTGATAAAAATGGTGCTATTTTTGTAAATGTTGTGGGATGGGTACTATTTTTGTAATTTTTTTAATAGATGCCATTATTGGAAAAATCTCGGATATACCGAGACAACTTTGTTGAGCAGTGTAGACGCCAAGTCTATTTTACAAAAAATTTTCAAAATATGAAAATATATCACGGACTTTTTTAACTTGTACGAGTTGGGTATTTTCTTATTTAAGAATTATTTAAATATTATTTTTATTTATTTTTTGAAAGAGTACACCCCAGTATAAAATTCCTGGGTCCGTCACTAACTGGACAATCCAGAAATAGATGCTCCATTGTCTCTGAATCCACCCAGTAAATTGGGCATCTTGGAATCACTGGAATATCCTTCTCGATTAGGGTTTCCGTGGCCGGAAGAATTTGATTAAAAATTTGCAAGACAAAATCTTTCAATTTGGGAGGAATGTGGGCTTCCCATAAACGAATCCAGCTAGCCCTATCCATCCAACTAGCCATGACACGCTATCAACCTTTCTGCTTATCTAATAAGATAGTAAAATGGTAGGCTGATTTAATAGTGAAATCCCCATCAACAGTACCATATCAAATCAGTCAATCCTCCACATTCTGACGAGCAAGAGGAATAATTTTTATGGCCCGACAGGTTTTCGAGTCTAACCACTAGCTAAGTTTTTTGTCACACCAACGACCCTCCCTAGGACACATAACCTCCGCAGCTCGCGGGTCCCCAGCCTCGGGAAGCACCATGCGGTTGTACACAGGGGGAAAGGGATGCAATCGAGGAATCCAGTTGGAAAGAAGCAGAGACGCATTCGGACCATTACCAATTTGCCATCGTAATCCCATTTCTAATAATTGTCGACCAAAGACGATACTCTGCCATGTTAGACGAGTGTAGCTCGTTTTTGCTTTTCTTTTGTTGTACTTATTGTACTGGGCCATATGTATTTTGGACGGATGATGATTGGGCTTAGGTTAGGCCCATGCAACCCATGCAAGGACAGGAGACGTACGTATAGATGCCTCTCTTAGGGTTCGGTTGGCTGTAGACGAGTATTTTACTTGTTTTGGGCGGCTGTAGTTGAACACAACACACAACTGTAAACTCTGATCAGTCTAGTGAATTGGTGCTCGAAGAGTTCTAAACTCTTCCGTGGATTAGTCCTGGAATTCCACGGATACCACGTAAATTTGTTTGTCTATTACTTTCTGTTCATCGTCTGTGATTGCGTTACATGGTATCGGAGCCTTCTGTGACCGTGAGGTCTTCTGTTCAATTTCCGGTGTCCGGACTTGTGCCTGTCCAAACTCCAAGCCTATCTGAATGGCTTGAGTTTGAAGGGGGTGTTAGCAAACAGTATATGATCCACGATTGAACCTCTCCCAACAACTCGAGTTATTGGGACCAACTGGTTCTTGACATGCCAACCCCAAGATGGGTGTGAACGGTTTGTAGCATCGAGAAAGGTTCCATTAGGAAAATGCTTCCCTTTATATACTTGGGCCAAGAGGACTAGGGTTCATTCAAGGTACGCCAGCCAAAAGAGTCTGATTAAAATCTTTGAACCGACGAAACCCCATACCTCGTCATGCTTACTCTTGCACATATTGCGCCAAGATATCCATCGAATCCTCGAGTGCGCTTCTTCCACACCCCACCAGAATCTGCCCACATGTTTGTCTAGGAGCTGACACAGAGATAAAGGCAACTCTAAGTAGGACATAACATGCAATGGCAATGCTAAAGATACTGATTTAATCAAAGTCTCTTTAGCTGCCCATGACAATGTTCTCTGCTTCCATCCCTGGAGGCACTCAAGCAACTTCTCCTCCAAATAACGGAACGTAGTCATCCTAGATTGGGCTATCAGCGTAGGTAACCCCTTATATTTTCGTGGGCCTCTACCGCTCCAACACCCATAATCTGAGCCAAGAACTCTTGGTCTGGCAAAGCAATATTCTTACTGAAGCAAACTGCCGACTTCCCCAGATTCACCCTTTGGCCACTAAGTTCCTCATATTCATTCAAAATCTCAATCTAATTCTCACATTCCTGGAGAGAGCCTCTAAGTAATAAATAAGAATCGTCTTCAAAAAATAGGTGTGAGATCCGAGGAGCTCAAGGGGCCACTTTAACTCCTTCAAGTTTTTATTTCCAGAAAGAGCCTTCCGAAAGAGCGCCACAAACCCCTCAGTGCATATGACAAACAAGAGAGGATATAAAGGATCCCCTGTCGGAGTCTTCTGGATGTGGTGAAGAATCCCGAAGGGGTACCATTCATGAGGAAAGAGAACGACATAGATCTGAGGCATTCATGTACCTATCCTCTCCCGATGGAGTTAAAGCCCATCTGGTCCAAAACTGCAAGAAGAAATGGTCATTCGAATCTATCCATAGGCCTTTTCCATGTCAACCTTTAGAGCCATGTACCCTTTCTTGTCTCGCGTCTTGATTTTCAAGTAGTGTATTAACTAGCTTTGTTATAGTTAAAGGAGTGAGAGCCCAGATTAAGTGAGAGCCCAGATTGTATCTCGGTTGCCCACTAAATTTTTGTAGACCTTTGTTTGCTCTGTTTTATAATAATAATAATACGAAAATTAAAAAAAAAATAGTAGGTATGTAATTTCCGCCTACCCGCATTAGTTAAAGATTTAGCTTTTCAGTTCTAAGTTCTAATTGTGAACCGATTAATCAGAGGCTTGCAAGTATTCACTGTCAATTTACCAGCTATAAAAGGGACTCCCAAGTACCTTACTGAAAATTTACCTAGCTGGCGGTCTTAGCTGCTCTAATTTTCATTTCCTCCCGTTTCATTTCTAGAAAAGATCTCACACTTACTGGGGTTGGATCTCAGCCTTAACAATGAAGTGAACTCCTCCAATTTTCATTTTCTTTTGTAACAAGAGGAATTTTACAATATTCTATAGTATTGGTGTTATAGGTTTTTATCTTTATGGTACAATTTGAAATTGTACATACAATGTTATGGTACAGTTTTAGATTATACCTACACTATTTTGTACATATTCTTTATGGTACAACTTGAACTTGTGCCTTTATGTGATGGTACAACTTCAACTTGTAAAGTTGTACCATAACATAAGGGTACAAATTCCTTTATGGTACAACTTAAACTTATATATTTAATGTTATTACATTAAAACACTAATACTTTATAGCATAGTAAAAGGGCTCTTAACAAATGTTTGCATAATGAAAGATTACAAATGATTGATAAAAAAAAGCATAATTTCATATATGTTGGACGCTTCATTCTCATAAAGTTTAGCCAGTGGATCTGCTTGTCTCAATGGTTTGGCAACGATCATCATTAGCGAGTTAGCTTCCTTCATTTTCTCATTTTTCCCCCCTAGATATAAGGGTCGTTTATCTCTAAGTTTATTGATCGATTATCTGAAGAACATCTACAACCGGCCACAAACTGCATACCTTCCAAAAATCAAGCTACAAAGGAATGAGTATCAAAATATCTCGAGTTCCCGTTTACAAAGGCATGAGCTATGAAATGAACCAATTGTGTCGGCTGTCGTTCTGGTTGTCGTGATGGTGAAACCATCTTCAGAAAGACGATCGCGAATGACTCATATTAATCTTTTGATAGTGCACTTTTAACGAAAATTATGGCTTTTACATCGTTTTTTAAACATGCGTAATTTTATTTGATCTCTTGTGTATATAATATGGTTGTTCATATCATAAAAAAAATTCATTCAACTACCGTTTGACAATTACCCTCTTTTACATTAAGCAAAACATATGGATGAAAATGAAACTAATGACAATTGACAATAAGTATAAAGCGCAAATCAAATCACCTTTCAATGGTATTAATTAGTACCTCTAGCTAGGCATTTAAGGAGACGGTACAACGAAGGAATTAAGAAGACTGTAGTGTAGGCTGACTTAGCAGAACTCGGTGCTCTCAAATCTCATGAAACATTTCGGATTCGCGATTTTCAGATCAACCTGGCCGCCGGTAGCCTTACTGCAGACATCCTTCAGCAGATCTCTGGCGGCGCCAAGACACGTGGAGCAATCCTCGAATGTGGTGGAACAACGGTCGCGGCCGCCGCCGCCACATCGCTTCGACGTGGCGCAGGAAGCGAAGCCGAAGATAGTAGTACTCTTACCACCGCCGTCGTCGGCCGTGGTGCAGACCTTTGGCTTATTCGTCCGTGACAACGTTTGGGATACCAATCGGCCTAGAACCTTGTCCCTCGCCGCCCTGGCCTGACGCAGCTCGCCGCCAGTAAAATTCCTTCCGTTGCACAGCACCGGCACGGTGTCAACTGCCTGGGTTTTGCCTTCGGCGAAAGGGCAAATAGTGCTGCCGCCCAACACAAGAACTGCGACGGCGGCGGCGAAGACTGCGGCAGGTATCATTGTTGCCATGATTTCTCAATCGAATTCGATTGTTGTTGTGGCTTTCTCTCAACCACAATTTGCTGGTGTGGATTTTATATAGAGAGGCTATAAGCGGCAATTTGTTTATATATAATAATAATAATATAATTAAGCTGCAGGCTATGTACAATTGAAGATTACTATTCTCGGTCGCAGTCCATTTGCTCACAATGTGCGTTCGTTGTTCTTAGCCCTAACGGCAATTGGGGTGTCCAGTTGCAGTGGATTTTTTCCCCCCAAAATACCAAACTTACTGTAAGAAAATTCTACCGAAGCAATTTTATTCAAATCGTTGTCAGCAGATGTGATTTACCAAAACTGTTCAAGTCGCCAGCAATCTAGCTAGAAAATAGTTGGAGGCTCCAGCAGTTTGGGTCTTATGTAGGGGTGAACAAACACACCCGCAAATCGACCCACCCGTCCAACCCGACCCAACCCACCCGTATTTATCGCTAAATCGAAGATTTTGGGTTGGGTGAGGGTTTTCTTTTGTACAACCCGCCTCTTTTGGGTTGGGTTTGGATTTTGGATTACACAACCCGTAGAACCCGACCCAACCCGTGTTCCAATTATTGGTATGAGTTCGTATCCAAAAAATATTTATGTCGTATATAGTCATACTTATGAGAAAATTAAGATATTTCGCCATGTTTTCCTCTTTAAGTCTAACTAATCTAATGCATTCTTTGACTTAAAGTTTAGACATATATTTAATATAGTTATGATTCACGTAATTTTTTTTTCTTTTGTACAAGTTTAAAAGAATATCATATTATGGATGCGTTCATTTGTAACCTTTTTAGCCTATTTCAACAAATGTCGTGAAAAAAACTAGACATAAGTTGAAGTAAATCAAGTTTTACTAAACTTCAAACAATATTTGTGAATTTTGATACCTTTCACCTCGGTTTATTCGTTTGAAATTTTTAATTAGTTATACAATATATTTATGATGTAGAATAATTACATATTTTGTGTTGGGTTGGGTTTTTACTTAAAAATATCGCCAACCCGACCCAACCCAATTAGAAACAAACCGTAGGGTTTAGATTTTTTTGGGTGGGTTTGGGTTTCATATTTCCCAAACCGTAGTGCATGGATCGGGTGATTAAAATGTCTAAACCCGAACCACCCGACCCATGTACACCCCTAGTCTTATGTACATGAAAACTCATGTACAATAGTTAGAGCCTCTGAATTTTCGACGTACAATCGTGAAAGCCTCCAGCGATTTTGAAGCTATATTATCGTGTATGTTGGCGAAGATTTTAATAAAATTGATTTGGTCTCAAACGAATTAACATCAAAATCGCTGGTTATTTTGAAAATCCTTAATGTAAGTTGATGTACAGTGGAATTTCTTTTAGTAAGTTTGATATTTTGAGGGGGGGGAATCTCGTTCCAACTGTGTTTTCCACGAGACTAATTTGCTTTGAATTTTCTAACGCCGGCATATGAAATATCGAGGCAATGGTAGAAATAAACGAAAACATCTGTGCAGGCCGTGGACCAGCCGGTGACAATGATTTGGCAGCTCACACTGGCCCAGTTACCTTCTTTTGTCCCCAATGGGCCAAGCCCACATAAATGCAATTCAATGAAAAGTCCAAAGAAAACTGGAACTCGAAGTTCATTGAATACGAAGGGTCCACATCATGACATCAACGAATTGATTGCACAACCTAACCAAGTTCCATGTCGGGTCATAGCCTTTACGTATAATATAAAACTAGCTATTGATCGGGCCCGTTGGCCGAATTACTTTAAGTTACCAACCTGTGAAATGGCAAAGTGAGCTAGAACAGGACTCACAATTTGGGTCTATTTGAGTCCATATAATTATACAAGTGAAACAATAATATCGACCATCTAGCTATACAGTAAAGAAAATTTCAAAATTTACATTAGATTTGGGTGTTCATTTTCTTTTGGGTAGCTAGTGTAATGAATATAATTTAGACCCAAACTAAAAGGTTGTTTATTGGTATGATCCATAAGTAATATTACCAAATATGATTTGACTGGTAATAAATTGGGTTTGAAATGAATGTTTTTGCCATTTCATAGAGGATGGAATTTTTAAGTCTCGTTTGACATTAGTTGTTCAAACACCACCACATCCACCGCTAAGGTATCACTTACCATGAGACTTTTTAATTTATTGTGAAACGAGATGATCTAAATTCCTTCAGTTTTGGGTTTCAAATTAGAAAATTTGCAATCACTTATTTACATAGTTTTCACTTTTCATCTCCTACTTCTAAATGCGCGAGATTTAAAGTTTCTTCATCTAAATTTCATAGCAAACTATGAACATGAAAACAGAAGCAGAGGTGAGTTAACAACTAAAGATCACAATGCTTGTAGTTTTAGTGGTATGAAAATATGTTTGAGCTCATAGATCAATTAAGTGCATGTCATCTTTCATTGAAAACTAAGCAAAATTTAGAGAGTCATTCACTGTTATATAAATGTATTTGAGTAAAATATGCTTGTGTTAGGAGTAAAGGTCGAGAAGGCCATGCGGCGCACTTAGGCTTTCCGCTCAATTACCCAAAAAAACCACGCTACTCCGATATGATCCGCGGAATTGCCAATCGCGGATCCCGCATAAAGGTTCCCCGTAACTGAATCTGCGGAAGGAATGCCAGTGTGCCCACGTATTTTTCTCTGACCACCTTGTCTTGTCATCTGGATTTGCCACCAAACCCAGAGAGGCTATAAATACCACATTTACTACACTTTGAAAGGGGACTTAGGGGGTTCTCTCTCTACCCTTCTCCCTAGATTTTCCCCTTGTAACCTCCCAATTGTAATCTCTCCCTCAGTATACATTCGAAGGTTAATCTGGAATCAAGAAGGGTATCTGTTCTCTTGTCGAATCTACGTTAAGTCCCCTGAATTACCGTGCAAACCTCCTACTCTTAGTCTTTCACAAACAGCTTGGAAACTAATTTTGCATGCATTTCCAAAGGTTAGTAGTGAATACTGAATAAGAGTGTATATATATATATATATATATATATATATATACGGGTGAAATACGGGGTACCGTATACCTCGAGTATGGAAACTCTATCTAGACCTTGAATTACCAGGATTTTTGTGTCTGATATTATACCCTAACCCTTAATGAGTGAACCGTAGTTCATAATTATCTAAATCATAATCTATAAACCCTAAGATGGTGCATTCCTCTTTGTGCCTATATTTGGATGAATCATAACCGTCGATTATTGTTTCTAATTAAATTGATCTTGGAGTATAAGATTGGGAGAGTTAACACCTAGATTTTGATCTTTAAGTGTTAGAGTATAGTATAATGTCCGAAAGATCGGTCAATTCAAGGTCTAGATAGTGTTTTCATACTCAAGGTATGCGGTACCCCAGATTTCACCCAGGGTACCGTAGAACTCGCCATATATATATATATATACTGGAGTATATTATACCTATAACCCATTAAGAAATATACAATAAATTTTTTTAGTCTAATTTGTTATGACCAAGGCTGACACTCAATTTCCACCAATGACTTATTTAAGCAAGTGGGTCAAGAATTAATGACCAAATTAGATTAACTTGGTTTAGCCTAGCTTTACCCATGTATATGAAAAATTTTATTGGTTCGACATGTATTATGCTTAGATATTTATGAAATTTCTATGATAAATTTAGATACAATGATGATTTAATAACTTATTCATTGGGATTGAGTTTTTTTATACTTTTTTCTCCCTTGGAAATTACTCTTTAATTCTAAATTTCTTTCTTTTTTATCTTTTTCCATTTCATTTTCTAGTTTTTTCTTTCCTTCTTTGCATTGGCATATCATATTCCATTCTCAATGTTTTTTTACTCTTCTTCTCCAATTCAATTTCAAGTGTATATACAAATGAGGACATTGGTCTATGTTAATCACCCAAAGTCTCTATTCAAATACATGTTCGCCTAGTCTTTTTGCTATTCTTTGTATGAGATGTGGTTCATAGGCACTGTGACCTTGCAGCTGGAAGGAAAATGGAATTGACTACTGAGGAACTATGTTAGCTTTTGAGATGGTTGAGGTTTGTATTATTACCTGCCGATACTAAAGGAAGAAGAAGATCTTATGGGATGACCGAACACGAGGGGTTGATGTACGCTACTGCATGGGTCTATGATAAAGAAAAGGACAACATGTCAACAATGCTAGTGATTAGATTTGTTGAAAATGATGCTGGTTTGAAGTTACTCGGTGCTCATATGAGTTAGTCGAATCGACTTGATTTCCTAATTTGAGTAGGTTTCCTGGTTCGGCCAAGTTGGGGTTGATAACCAACTCGGCCTCAAGCATCCTAACAGATACTCGGTTTGGGCTAAACTTATTCGACCAATGGGTTGAAAATCATGCTTATAGTTCTTGTCTTCTCTTTTGAGATACATTCATTCAAATTTCAATACTTGTCTATTTTTTATAAAGAAATAAGTTTAATAATTGTGAAGGAAAATATGTCATTCATATTTTGGATCTCGTTGTAGGAATTTAAAATTGGATGATATTTTTCTCATTCCAATCTTATATATTGTATTCTGTGTAGATGTTAAGACGTAGACATATGTTATTGCCTAGAAATTCATTAACATTTCAAAAAATGGTGAAATGAACCAATAATTAAACCGAATCTCGTACAATGATCATTGGATCTAATCACACCGAATTAGGAACTTGTTTAAAACTTAGTGGTTAACCCAACTTAAACGTTAAAAAACCCCTCTCATATAGTCTACACAACAATATGATTTCTTCATAGTAATTCTAAAAATTAATACTAAAATAAAATTTTGGCATTGCTTCGACCTACTTAATACTCCGATTTTATATGCAACCAAGTTATATTTAGGTTACAATTTTAAAGTTATCCCCTATTTATAATATACATAGAAACGCAAATTAAGTATTAAATTGCAATTAAAATAATCAAAATATGAAAACCAAAGTATCAAATCACCAATAAGTACTTATGGGAGATTTAGTGGCTAGCTAAACGTTGTAAAAGTCCAATGATTTTTCAGATGTTAGGTTTGTGTATGTTTTTCTTTTAAAAGATACAACAAATATGCGTAGTGTGATTGGTTGTATCTCTTCCCTCTCTTTAAAGTGGTCATGGTTCAAATCACCATAAGTATCCTTTTTTATAAATAAATAAGAAAGAAATAAGTAGTTGTGAAGACAAAACTGCCCTTCCTACATTCACTCTCGATGCAGGAAATTTGAAATGGAGCAATGGGTTTTGGCTTTCACCTTTAATAATACTAGCTTATTACTTATAACCCGGCAAAACGGAATGTAAAAAGAGAGGGAATGTTCATATTTTAATATTTATATTTTTATGTTATGTTTAAGTCTATTAATTCGTTTAAATTTATTGAAAATCATTCAATCGAGATGCTACATAAAGAATGAATATATAGGTCGAACATTCAGCGAAATACCCTCCTCATTTAAGAATATAAAAATATATCATTAATCCCATTTTCATAATGATAATTGAGCCCCCATTAAAATGATATTGGTTAATAGATTGTCCAGAAATATAT